CTGAGGAAGGGTCACCGAACCCAAGACGTTAACTCTGATTTTCTCTCCACAGATGCCGCCGGACCTGCTGAGCTTTTCCAGCAATTTCTGTTTTTGTTTCTGATTTACAGCATCTGCAGCTCTTTAGGTTTTTGTGTGATAACAAGGCCTGGTGTGTGGGGTTTGGGGTAAGGACGTGGGAGAACTTCAAGCCCTAAAGTTATTGAACTCAATATTGAGTCCAGAAGGCTGTGGAATCCCCAAATGGAATCAGCACCCTCTTCTCGTGTTGTATAAATTATTGTTTCCCGCCTAAGTTTGTTTTCTTGCCTTATTGTCCTGAACAAAAAAAACTTCCAACTCATGTCGCCTTTTAACAATGCTCACGCTCAGTACCACCAAACAATCTGTTATAATGAAAAAAAGGTTCTGAAGGGCAAGAGGCTGTTGTGAAGAAAATCAAGGTATTAATTCATTTAAAATAATTTGAAAGAAAGTGTTTTCTGTGAACGGCGGTCACCAGGGAGTCTGATCAGCTGAGGGTCGGATGTATCTGGAATCTCTCAGTGTACTTTCCAAGGTCAGAGCTCTACCAACAGTGAAATTTTATGAGGGAAACAGGGAGACAGATTAGAAATGCATTGACACATGGGGTGATGTGTTTATACAATGGGCCCTGTATTTTTTAACAGCAAAAATCACCAGCCTCACTAAAAATAAACGAGGAACAACTGGTCTGTCAGCATTTTCTGAATTGCGTTCCTCACTGCCAGTGAATGCCACAGGTGTTAAGTTCATTTATATTTGTTTCCTCACTGCCTGCATCCCTCACATCATCCCCCCCACCCCTCCTTCCACCGTCCACTCCTTCAGGCTGTTCAACTCCTTAAGCCTTCACTTTCCCCCAGAGACATGGCACAGTGTCAGTTCATTGCACTTTTGATGTTGGAAGAAGGAAAATGAAAACCGCCCGTGGTGGCTCAGTTGGCAAAGGCAGCTAGCATGTGATGGGAGTGGACTTACACAGTGTCACCGATTTTTAGGCTGAAGAGCATAACTTGCTGCACTGCTGCGTCTCATCGCGATTATGTGCAGAGTTATGTATGTGACACTCTCAGCGGGAGGGAGGCTCTTGTGGTAGCATCCCTACCTCTGAGGCAGAGCACCCGAGTTTCAAGTCCCACTTGCTGCAGAGGGGTGTTGTAACATCTCCGTACAAGTTGCTTAGAAAATACCTCCGCAACGATGGGCTGTAGCAAGTCACTGATTTACTTGGGATCAGCAGGAGAGCCACAAGACCCATTTTAGCTCATACATGCGGAAATCCCCAAGGGTGCCCAGTCGTGATTCAACAACAACTTGAATTTAAATTCCACCAAAGTTTGCCAAACAAGAGGAGAGAGAGGAGGAGGAAGTTCAGGCAGGCCATTCCAGAACTTTGTTGGGGTTGGGGGTGTGGTTTGCAGTTTTGAAAGATGGAGACAGAGATTGGTGAAGTGGTAATGTCACTGGATTAGGAAACCAGATACTCAGACTAATCCTGGGAATGTGGATTCAAATCCCACCACAAGAGCCAGTACATTTTTAAATTCAAATACATCTGTATTTAAAAGCAAGTTATCATGAAACTATCATCGTTTGTTGTAAAAACCCACCTGGTTCACTAATATCCCTTAGGGAAGGAAATCCACCATCTTTACGCAGTCTGGCCTATATGTGACTTCAGACGCACAGCAAAGTGGTTGACTCTTAACTGCCCTATGGGCAATTAGGAATGGGCAATAAATGTTGGGGCTATCCAGTAATGCCTGCACCCTGTGCATAAATGACAAGTGAGTTAGTGCTGTAAGATTAAAATTACAAAATAACTGGCAAAACGTCCTTGGGAGAGTGTGAGGTGTAAATATTTCACACAGAAGGCTAGTACACAATATGTGAAAGGATGGCACAGCTAGGTTCCATAGGATGTTGTAAAAATTAATCAAATATGTTCTTGGAAGATTTGGGGGAAAGAGTAGGGGTTTGGTATTAAATTGGGCAGCTCTAATGTCAGTAAGGGGTCACAATTTCAGAATTGTCAGCATGAGAGTTACGAGTGAGATGAGGAAGGGCCCCGACCCGAAACGTTTCTGCTCCTCTGATGCTGCCTGGTCTGCTGTGTTCCTCCAGCTCCACACTGTGTTATCACTGACTCCAGCATCTGCAGTTCTTACTGCCTGTGAGTGAGATGAGGAGAAACTTCTTTACTCAGAGAGTTTTTTAGGATTTGGAATGCGTTGCCTGGGAGAGTGGTGGAGGCCATTTCCATAGGAGGCTTCAAAAGAGAGTTGGATATTTTTGAAAGGGTTGAAGTTAGAGGGCTACAGGGATAGGCTGGAGAGTGGGACTAGCTGGGGAGCTCTTTCAGGAGGCAGTATAGACACGATGGGTTGAATGGCCTTCTTCTGTGCTGTTAAAATTCTACAATTCATTTTGAAAGACCCAACACAGGCACAATGGTTGAATGTGAGATAACAAGGTGTCGAGCTGGATGAACACAGCAGGCCAAGCAGCATCAGAGGAGCAGGAAGGCTGACGTTTTGGGCCTAGACCCTTCTTCCACAATGGTTAAATGGCCTCTTTTGCTGTATAATTCTCTGATTATGGAGTCTTGTTTTAGAGCCAAATTTCTGATTTCTCTCTTTCTAAAACGGTGTTATCTGACTTTGTGGTTCTTTGAAATAGCTCAGAAAGTCTCGACGACAAGATGTAGATATGATGCACAGACACGATGGCTTCAGGAAGAGAGGAAATGAGCAGCTAATGGAAGTGGGGAGGGGAAGTGCTGGGTTTGAGGGGAGGAGTATATTTACTTTGGGTTGGGTTTTCAGTCCTGAGGATGCGTTTGGCAGTCTGGGCAAGTAAACACTTCCAGTTTGGATTGTGTCAGACTGGATCAGTTGGCTGGAGACAGAGCACTCAAACTTCACCTCTTCTGGGCCATTTAATTCAGGCTGAGAGTCAGTCTGCCTCTTCATGTGGGTGTTATAGATCCCAGCTGGTAAATTACCGGAGGTATCCTAGCCATAAATATTCTCACTGCCAAGTCAGCTGAGCTGCCCTGGCAATAGTATGCCATCTGTGGGATCTTGCTGTGTACCCCATAGTGTCATCGAGCCCAAGATCCCACTCATCTTTTGCACGTAAGATGTTTTTCCAAGGAACAAAAGGGCTTCACTAGAGTGTTTATCAGACAATGTTGGATACTGAGCCACATCGAAGCACAGGCAAACTAAAAGCTGAGTCCAAGTTGAGGGGTTTAAGGAGCATCTTAAAGGAGGCAAGGGCCAGAGAGGAAATTGCAGAGTTTGTGGCCCAGGCAGCTAAAAGCAAGGAGGTTATAAACAGGGATTGGACACTATGGGGTTATAGAATTCACACAGGATCCCCAACAGTGTGGAAGCAGGCCACTTGGCCCATTGCATCCACACCAACCCTTCCAACAGCATCCCACCCACACTCACCCCAGCAATTCCCCTGGCCAATCCACACAGCCTGCACAGTTTAGCACAGCCAATCCATCCTAACCTACACATCTTTGGGCTGTGGGAGGAAACCAGAGCACCTGGAAGAAACCCACACAGACACAGGGAGAATGTGCAAACTCCACACAGACAGTCGCCCGAGGGTGGAATCGAACCCGGGTCCCTGGTGCTGTGAGGCAGCAGTGCTAACCACTGAGCCACCGTGGGGACATGCCTGAGATGTATAAAATTATGAGGGGCATAGGGGGTGGACATTAATTCAAAGTAAGATGCAGAACATTTAGAGGGAATGCAAGGGAATTACTTTTCACTCAGAGGGTGGTGAGAATCTGGAACTCACTGTCTGTAAGGGTGGAAGAAGCCTTATAACATTTAACGAGTATTTAGATGTGGACTTGCAATGCCACTCCACAATGGTTATCATTAGATTCTTAATTCCAGATTTTTAAAAAATTAAATTCAAATTCCGCCACAGTAGAATTCAAGCCCCTGTCCTTCAGAACATTACCAGGGTCTCTAGTCCCAGTGATATTAGCACTAGGCCATTCCCTCTCCCAGTGAATCCCCAATCCACTCCCTCCATGGCACAAACGGTCCTCTCTCAGGTAGGAAGACCAAAACTGTGCTCAGTACTCCAGATGTGGTCTCACCATGGGCCCCATAGAGAACAGTAAGATATCCCCACGTCTGAAGGCAGGTTCTCTTGCAGCAAAGGCTCATATACCATTTGCCTTCGTAATTGCTTGCTGTACCTGCCTGTCTACTTGTCGCAGTCATATGGCTGTTAGTAGGATCTTGCTGTGCACACCTTTGCTTCCTATATTACAACAGTGACCACATTTCAAGCACTTCATTGGCTGCAAATCTCATTGGAATGTCTTGGACATAGAGACAAACTATCCAATCATTTGGCCGTGCCAAATATCCTGAAAATACTCAAACAGTTGCACCAACAGCGACATCCTCGAGCAGGCCAATGTCCCTAGCATCGAGGCACTGACCGCCCTTAATTGGCTGCGGAGGGCCAGGCATACCATCTGCACGGCCGATACAAGACTCCTCCATCAGGTTATCTACTCCCCAGCTTCTAAACTCCAGGTGGAGGGAGGAAATGCTTCAGTGATACCCTCAAGGCCACGCTGGCGAAGTGAAGCATTCCCACAGATGCTGGCACTCACTGGCCCAAGACTGTCCAAAGTGGAGAAGGAGCATCTGGGAAGGCATTGAGCACCTCGAGACTTGCCTTTGGGGGACAAATGGAATCCAGTTGAAAATAGTGAGAGGAGCACACCGCCCCACCCACCCCACCCCATGACCACCTCCTGCCCCAAGTGTAACGGAGCCTGCGGTAGCTTCATCAGTCTGTACCACCACCTATGGACTCTCCCTGAGAGTGGAAAAGAGTCATCCTCTTCTGTGAGGGACCTACAACGATGAGAACTGAACAAAACACATGTTGCGAGTGAATCCCACCAGGACGCAAGACAAGACACTGCATTTCTTTGCTTGAACTTTTATTGGAAAATTATTTTACAAAAATTAATCTTCCAAAACAAACAATATTTTTTAAAAAAAAAGGAGAAATCTAACCAGCATATTCTACAAAATGAAATGATCTATGTACAAAACATCACTGTACAAGGGGTCTGGGACACTGCTTTCCCCCCACACAGCAGACTGTTGTCACTCGGGATGGGTCCCATCAGCTTCTCAAAACCACAGGATACCGTGGCATGCTGGGAACTTGTGTTCATGACCGCGGCAGAAATTCATGTCGAATGAAGTGGGCAAAGCCCCTATTGAAACTCGTTGGGAAAAGGGAGTTGGGTGGTGGAAGAGAAGGGGGTGTTAATAGGTACCAGGCTCTCTTATCGCCTCTTCTCCATGCCACCCACCCAGGCCAAAAGTTGCCCCCTGATCACCCGACCCCGCGTGTCCTGACGCATCTGCATTGAGAGTCTTCACCAATTCAGAAGCAGGTGACATCGCCCATCTCCCCACGTGGCTCAGCATTCGGTAAATGCACCTTCTTGTTTTCAAGTTGCAAGGGATCAGAAAGATCCCAGATTCGAAGCCCAGGGTCCACCCGCATCGTGTTGGCTCAGTCAGAGTGGACCTGGGGTGCAGTGTTTCTTTGGGGAGGTGGGGAACAGTTTCAGAGCCCCCTCTCAAGTCCAGGAATGTGAGGGGGTGATGGTGGAGGTGGGGTGGTTACCTTGGGTAAGAATACCAGTCCTGGCTCTCCACTCTCGATCACCAGCCTTAGGCACATTGTGGTCAAATTACTCATTGCCTGGGTGCACAGACTGACCACTCACTATCCAACAGTGCGGGACTTCAGCATTTGTACAATGCCGGGAGGTTGGAAAGTGTAGCAGACTGTTTGATGGGCAGCAGGATCAGTATCTCACAAAATGAGACTGAACTTCCCAGCCTTTTGAAAGCAGCGCCCCTTAAAGGGACAAAGATTTCTTGGAATACATGTCTTTTTTACCCACCCCCATCACTGCTACTGGCCCAGATTGAACACAAGTTTCCTCAAACAGTTTTGTTTCATTCACCTAAAACCTCAGTTGGTCTTTCGAACTAAACAAGGACTCAAACTGAAACAAAAAAATTCACACAGTAATAAATAGTTTCGAAGCCTGTTTGATGCAAAGTAATCACGAAACACTCAGCTTTCCCGTACAGGGTGCACCAAAAGAGACATGAGAAATACAAGGAACCGACTCTACCAGAATTCATCCCTGAGGTGACTTTGAGCGATTGGTTATACAGCTCATCGATCCAGCTGTTGCGCAGCTATTGCTACATGTTGAAGAAGACTTTTCCTTTCCCTAACAAGTGCCTGATTTTTCGTAACTGCCCTGATTTTAAGGAATCGATTTTACAAAGACACATTGCATGTGGTGGGGGAAGGGGCCATAGACTTTGACATGGAGCTGAGATATCCTGAGAGCTACAAAGAATAGGGCGTCTGAAATTCCACAGTCAGTGTCCATTTTAATTAGGCTCAAACCTATGCCCCACCCCACCCCAAACAAACACCTTCAAACTATAGCGAGCCTGACTTTTCTTTCTGTCACACCGTTCCCCAATTTGTACTTTTACCCGATCTTCGGATTGAATGTTTTAGTTCTGGAGAGGGAGGTTTGGTCACAGAAATTGGCAGGACGAGTCGGTTGGTTACAGAATGTATCTCTCCCAGGAGCTCACACAAGGGGAAATTGTCAATCCCAAGGGAGATACAATACACCCATTAGAAAATGCCAGAAAAATCATCAACCAATCTCTGATGGATTCCCCTGAGTTAATATCCACCACAAGGAGAGCTACGAACAAATCTGGGTCTATAAATGCAAACTGGAGAAGTGGTTAAACCCTCTCCACATGGTACAGTACTTCAAAATCTAAGTGCAAAGCTGATGCTGCATTGTAACCTCAGCAATGGAGGGAGATTCTCATCTGGTTTTAACCCCAGAGCTCCAGGCAGTGCTAGGACCATCCAGTAACCTTTCAACCCCAGCCCTCCTTATGTCTCTACCTGACATCCCACTCCTCACCTCAGGTTCACAGTCCAGGTGAACCCGATCCTCCTGAAACTAAGGGCAGTGGTGAAGGTGTATCCTGCTTTTGGTCCGAGATCAGGAGGCTCTGCTCTGTGGGGCTTCCGGGGAGCTTGAGGTTATTTCAGATCAGGGAAAAGCACAGGAACAGCTTTTTGCTACAGACCCTGACGGAAAAGGGGGGGGGTTACAGTAACCATTGATCGCTCCAACAAGAATATCTACATCTTGGCCCTGAAAAGTCGTCATTCTTTTTATCTCTCTCTCTCTCTTCTTTCTTTCATCTCGTCCGTCCAGCGGAGTCAAAAAAGTTTCAGAGGGGACCTTCCGAATTCTTTTTCCAATGGTCCCCTCAGGGATTGACCGAGTGGCCCTTCCCAAGCTCCTGAGAGTTCATCTCCACCGAGGCATGCGGAAGATGGCCATGGTGTGCATGAAGAAGTTGAGAAAGGTCCAGTACCAGACTGGCCAACGCCTTCGGTCCCACTCCTCAACCTGTAATATCAAGGAGGACAGCGAGGTCGTTACTTCCTTTGGCAAATCAAGAAAGTAAATTTCCAATTGCTAATACAAAACTTAGAAACGCAGAAAATAGGAGCAGGAGTAGGCCATTCGGCCCTTTGAGCCTGCTCTACTATTCATTACGATCATGGCTGATCATCCAACTCAGTCCCCAGTTCCCACTTTCTCCCCCATACCCTGGGATCACCCTTCATTCTCCTAGTCTCCAGTCAATACGATCCTAACTGATCCAGTCTTTCTTCATATGTCAGTCCCGCAATCCCAGTCTGGTAATCTATATACATTATGACAATCTTACTGTTTCCAATGCTTGCTTCCTGCTGTCAAAACTGTGTGTCACATTTTTTTCTCTCAGAATTTACCATCATTAATTTCTCCTATTGATAAATTCCTATTCAGTTTGCTATGTCAACAGTCATGGCATTCTTGCTGTCTCTAGGCACTAGATGTCTCTGTGGAGCTCACAGGAGGCCCCATTTCAATTTCCTTTTATTCTGTTTATGCATCAACTGTTCAAGGAAAAGGTTACAAGTTATTACCAAAACAGTCAAATGTTATTAAAATACTCAAGGGAACTTGGATGAACTTATATTTGGGACATGTTCAGACAAATATTACATTGCCAACAGAGTAAACACTGTGAATGTAAGATAGTTGTTGGATTTTTTTTGCGCCCTCGCACACTGTTAACTCCGTATCAAAAACAGCTGCCCATTCTGTGGGTGAGTTTTATTCACTGCGAAGTTCAGAGTGAGCAGATTCACTGAACATTCTCTGTGGGAGATTCCTGCTCACTCCTTGTTAAGCTACACTGGTTCCTGGACTAGCAATATCTCTATTTTAAAATTCTCATGCTATTTGCAAATCCCTCTTGCCTATCCCTATCTGTATAAACCCCTCCAGCCTTAAAACCCTCGGAGTCTCATCCACTTCCTACCTCTTGTGCATCCCCTGGTTTTAATCACTCCACCATTTGCAGCCCTGCCTTCAGCTGCCTGGGCTCCAAGCTCTGGAATTCCCTTCCTAACCCTCTCCGTCCTTCTCCCTTCTCCTTTAATACCATTCTGAGCACTTAATCCAATCCCCTGTTCATGGCAAACTTGGTCTGATAACTTGCCCACCTTATGGGGTTAAAGGTGTTATTCAAATGCAACATGTTGTTGAATCACTGCACTTCTGTGCAGTGTAAACACTAGGCATTGTCCGGCTAGGTATTTAGAGGACAAAATATCAAATCAGATTTTAGTGGGGACAGCTGGTTTCCCCATCTCCCAAAAGCACACATGACCCCATTACCTGCCTCAGTCTCCTGTTCCCTGGCAACACAGCAGCTCAGTGGTTAGCACTGCTGCCTCACAGCGCCAGGGACCCACGTTCGACTGTCTGTGTGGAGTGTGCACATTCTCCCAGTGTCTGCGTGGGTTCCTGCCCACAGTCCAAAGATGTGCAGGTTACGGTGGATTGGCCGTGCTAAATTGCCCCATAGTGTCTAGGGATGTGCAGGCTAGGTGGGTTAGCCATGGGAAATGCTGGCTCACAGCATTTCTGGGTCGGGGTGGGATGCTCTTCGGAGCATTGCTGTAGATTCAATGGGCCAAATGGCCTCTTTCCATGCTGTAACATAAGAAATAGGAGCAGGAGTAGGCTATTTGGCCCATCGAGCCTGCTCTGCCAATCTATAAGATCATGGCTGGTCTTTCTCGTGGACTCAGCTCCACTTACCCTCCCTCTCACCATAACTTTAATCCCTTTACTGTTTGAAAATCTATCTTTGCCTTAAAAACATTCAACAAGGAAGCCTCAACTGCTTCCCTGGGCAGGGAATTCCACAGATTCACAACCCTTTGGGTGAAGAAGTTCCTCCCCAACTCAGTCCTAAATCTGTTCCCCCTTATTTTGAGGCTATGCCCCGAGTTCTAGCTCCACCCGCCATTGGAAACAACCCCCGCTTCTATCTTATCTATTTTCTTCATAATTTTATAAGTTTCTATGAGATCCCGCCACCTCATTGTTCGAAATTCCAAGGAGTACAGTCCCAATCTCCCTTCATAAGCTAACCCTGTCAACTCTGGAATCAACCTAGTGAACCTCCTCTGCACCTTTCTCAAGTAAGGAGACCAAAACTGTGGGGATTCTGTGATTCCCGGTAAATTAAAACTTGCGAGAGAAAGCAGTCCTTTTGAGTATCTGTTATCGTTTGACACAGCGGGAGGGGACTGTACATCGAAGTGTGTTTAATTTGCACAGAAGGATTGCAGAGGGGGCAGGGACCTCAACTCCTGAACCACAAGCAACCAGCTGCTGCTTCTTTGTGATGACAATCAATTTGTTTATGAGCGAAAGGTTGGGCTGGTTTGGGCTTATGCCTAGAGGCAAGCAAGTGGAGAGGGAGTCACGAGACTATCAGGCAGCTGCCCAGTGAGTCAGCAACTAAAAATAAACCCGGCATATATAGAGAGTTAAACAGGACAAGAGCCGCAAAGCTCGTAAAACTACCTCGCACGGAGCACAGTGAGTCAGAGGGCTCACCATTCCCGCACTAACAGAAGCGTACATTTCTGTAGCGCCTTTAGCAGTCAATTGCCCCAGCATGTTTTCACAGAAGTGTTAACAAAGCAGAAATTAAGACGTGGGGAGGCACTAGCGTTCGAAAGCTTGGTCAAAGAGCTGGGTTTTCGGCAGCATCTTTAAGGATTTATTCCTGGCGCTGACTGGAGGGTCGTGTAACACTATTTCACAGAGAGTTGAGAGGGAAGAATACCCAAACCCCTCAGCATCCTGACCAATCCCTAAACCGGCACCTCCAGAACAAATTAGCTCATGGGATCTTGCTGTGTGCAAATTGGCTGCCGCCTTTCCCACATGACAACATGTCAGAAGGGGAGGCAATGGCCCAATGGTATAATCGCTGGACTGTTAATCCAGAGACCCAGATAATGTTCTGCAGACCTGGGTTCAAATCCTGCCATGGCAGATGATGGAATTTGAATTCAATAAATATCTGGAATTAAGAATCTAATGATGACCATGAATCCATTGTTAGGGGGGAAAAACCCATCTAATTCACTAATATGAAACTGCCATCCTTACCTGGCCTGGCCTACATGTGACTCCAGACCCACAGCAATGTGGTTGACTCTCAACTGCCCTCTGGGCAATAAATGGGATGGGCAATAAATGCTGCCTGGCCAGCAATACCCACATCCCGTGAACAAATAAAGATAAAAAAGAGAGAAGTACCTCAGGGGCCTGTGAAGCCCTTTGAGGCACCCTGAGGCAGTGAAAGGCGACACAGAAATGCAACTCCTCACTTCCTGGTATTCCGCAGTTTTGCTTGGCAGGGGGAACACTATCTTACAGTAAAGTCACAACAGAGCTGCGTTTACAGCTCATTTATCAAAATGCCCCAGTCTTATCAGATTTTCTTGGTGCAGGGCCTGAGCCACAGTCTATGTGCATTCAGCCAGAGTTTGGATTTTCAATTTAGTAGTTGTTGTCGGGAATCTGGTCCAGGAGAATTCTATGAGGAGCCGGGATTTTTGCACAGGCCTGGTTTTTCTGAGATGCACAAATATTGGGAAGCACATCAAATGATGCCATTCCTTTGCCGTTTCATTCCACCAATTGCAATAAGTTGAGAAGTTTTACCAATCCGCATGTTCTGTTCTACCCTTCCAGGACAGGGTTGCTTCAGGAGTGAAGGATTTGGTGTGTAATCCAGGCTGTAATGGCAGCGCTGTGTTGTGGGGTCTTGGGGAATTAATTGGCAATTGTGCTCATTAAATAACAATAAGAAGAAAAATAAGGAGTGGACCATTCGGGGAGGTCATGTTGGAACTGTACAGGACTTTGGTGAGACTACAGCTGGAGTACTGTGTGCAGTCCTGGTCCCCGCGCTATAGGAAGGATGTGATCGCACTGGTGGGGGTGCAGAGGAGATTCACCAGGATATTGCCCGGGGATGGAGAATTTCAGCGATGGAGAGAGACTGGATAAGCTTGGGTTGTTTTCTCTGGAGCAGAGAAGACTGGTTGAAGTGTATAAGATGATGAGGGGCATGGACAGGGTGGAAAGGGAGCTGTTTAATCGAAGGGTCGATATCCATTTTAAAGTGAGACGGAATTTGAGGAAACTCTTTCTCACCCAGAGGGTAGTGGGGGTCTGGAATGCACTGCCTGGGAAGGAAGCTGAGGAGGGGAACCTCACAACCTTTAAAAAGTAGTTGGGATGAGCACTCGAAATATCATAATATTGAAGGTTATAGGCCCAGGGGAACTGGTGTAGATTTGGGTTTAAAGCTTTGTGATCAGCCTTGATCGTACTGAAGGGAGAAGCAGACTTGATGGGCTGAAGGGCCTCTTCTGTACTGGGTGATTCTTTCAGCCCATCAAGCCTGCTCCACCATTCAATACAATTAAGGCTGAGCCCACGGCTTCACTCCATTCCCCATCTGCCTCAGTTCCTCAGAAGACCAATGTCTCTCAAGCCCATAATAAAATACAATCATCACAGAAAATGCCGGAAATCACAGTGGATTAGGCCGCATCCATGGAGAGAGAGCAAGCTAACATTGCATGTTTAGATAACTCTTTGAAGAGTCACCTAGACTCAAAAGGTTAGCTTGCTCTCTCTCCATGGATGCGGCCTAATCCACTGTGATTTCCAGGGATTTTTTTGTTCTCAGTACAGATTTCAGCAAAGCTCTGACCTTAAATACATTTAACAATGGAGCACTAACAGTCCTCTAGCGTGGAAAGTTCCAACGTCTCACAAACCCTTTCCGAGTGAAGAAATTTCTCTCTCATTTCAACTAAGTAGCAGGGAAGGGGTGTCATAAAAAGATCCCATGACATGTTATTTTGGAGGAACGTGAAGTGGGATGTTTTCCCCGACATCCTGACCCACATTTGTCAATTTGCCTCAAGGTTGTTTGTTAAAACAAAAAGCCATTTCAGAGCATTGGCAGCAAACAGACAAGAGATGGGAGATAGCTGGAGGAGGCTGGAATTGGCCGCAGTAACCCTAGAGAAGTGGGTCAAGGGGTCGGCGGTGTCAGGGAAGGAATACTTCAAAGAAAGCAGCCGTCGACCAAGGAACGCAGTGATGCTCCTCACAGTTCAATAGCCAGGCACACACCAGAGGTTCACACAAGCACAAAGAGCAACCACACAGGAGGGGTGCTCACGGGGCATTGGAGAAAAGGCAACATTGAATCCCAAATCTCTGGCTCAGTCAATGCTCCTTGTGTGTCATTATAAAGAAAACATCAAGACCCATCAATCTTCTTTAATCCTAAACCACATCCCAAAATAAACCAACTTGTTTTTATGGTGCATGCGGATTTTCAAAGAAAAAAATGAAAGTTGCATCAGAGACAGAGTAAAGTCGTACTTGTTTTTATGTTTTAGTCATCTCAGTCACCCTAAGGGAGTATCCAGTGGCCTCAAAGCAGACAACTCTTTTGTGATTCAAATCAGTGCAAAACATTTAGGGTCCCCCTGATGCCCCTCAGTTACTGAGGGAGGGTTGGAGGTGACTGTTCCATCAGATTGTCTGTGATATTACTGATTTACTAAGCTGAAAACTAAGCAGCAAAGGCTGGAGCTGGATTTAGCAAATCCCCCACCACGACAATATTTCTTTTTAGTAGTTAATGGAACGTGGGTGTCGCTGACTGGGCCCAGCATTTATTGCCCGTCCCTAAATACCTTGAGGTGAACTGCCTTCCTGAACCTCTGCAGTCTTCTGGGTGTAAATAGACCCACAATGCCCTTAGGGAGGGAATTCCAGGATTTTGTCCCAGCAACAGAGAAGGATAGGCGATATATTTCCAAGCCGGGATGGTGAGTGGTTCTTGCAGGGGATGGTGTTCCCATGTATCTGCTGCCCCTTGTCCTTCTAGATGGAAGTGGTCGTGGGTTTGGAAGGTGCTGTCTGAGGATCTTTGGTGAATTTCTGCAGCGCATCTTGTCGACGGTACAACTGCTGCTACTGAGCGTTGGTGATGGAGGGAGTGGGATGTTTATGCATGTGGTGCCAATCGAGTGGGGGCTGCTTTGTCCTGGATGGTGTCGAGCTTCTTGAGTGTTGTTGGAGCTGCAAGTTGGGATGGTGAGTGGTTTGGAGGGGAACTTGCAGGGGATGGTGTTCCCATGTATCTGCTGCCCTTGCCCTTTGAGATGGGGTAATGGTGGTGGGTTTGGAAGAAGCTCGCTGCTGTTGGAGCAAGTTATGCTCCCTTCACCCTAACACGAGGCTGCCTGTCCCAGCAAACAATGTAACAGCTACAGGTGAATTCAGGAGCTGCAGGTCTTGGGTAAAACTCACAGAATCATCTAGATCTGACCTGGTTTGCAGCCGACAGCTACACACACACACACTGTATGATAAGTGCCAGGAAGGCAGACAGCAGATAGTCACCCCAAGGGCAATATTACACCCCCTGCATCACACCAAGCTTAAGACACAGAGACTAGCTCACTTACTGGCCCCAGCTGAAATCAGGTCATGGGGCAAACTGAGTCCTACATTTCTGCAGTGCCTTTCACAATCTCAGGGGCCCCCACAGTCACTGAAGTACTCTTTGAGTCATGTACTACAGTGTATTACAGAAGTACTACAGTGTGGAAGCAGGCTGTTCGGTCCGCAGAGTCTGCACCGACCCTCTGAACAGCATCCCACCCCATCTCTGTAACTCTGCATTTCCCCATGGCTAACCCACCCGGCCTGCACACCCCTGGGCACTACGGGCAATTGTGGTTGGTTGGCTCACCAAACTGTGTGTTTCTTCCTTGATGCTGTTGGTCCTCAGTGCGGCTTCCAGTGCAGCTGGGAATTCTGTTTTGTTGGCATCTCTGCAGTTATAGTTAAGTCCGCGGTTGAGAACAGCTTTCTCTGTATCTGTCTGAGAGGTTTCTTATCCAGGTGTCTGAGCTACAAATCTACTCTAAAACTATGGGGCAATTTAGCACGGCCAATCCACCCTAACCTGCACATCCTTGGACTGTGGGAGGAAACCCACACAGACACGGGGAGAATGTGCAAACTCCACACAGACAGTCACCCGAGAGTGGAATCGAACCCGGGTCCCTGGCGCTGTGAGGCAGCAGTGCTAACCACTGGGTCAGCGTGCCCCCTCCATTTGCACATAGCGAGCTCCCGAAAGTAGAAACATACCAATGACCCAGATAATTTTTTGATTAGCATTATTTGAGGAATTAGTATAGGGGGTATAGCTGTGAGGTGCCTGGGGCTGTTTGATGAATACAAGATGTTGTTCCCTCGGTGTTGCTGGTCCCTTGCCTGTGGAGATAGGGGAGGATGACTGTGCGGGTATACTCCATCATGCAGTATTTACCAAAAGCTGGCACAAACTCGTGTGGGGATTTCAGGGCTACACGTAAACAACCTCTTTGCACGCTCACAGTGAAGACTTAATGACAGAAGAGAAAATGAAGAGGAAATGAACCAGCAAAGCCAAGGATGGGAGCAGCTGCCCCTTTAAGTAAGCACAGCAGCTCCATATATTTCGGAAGCTTTGACACTTCACAATTATCAAACAAAACTGAAACAATTCAGATGAGACAAATCCAACAGAATACATAAGCACAACCAAAGAAACTCATAAAACTTCAACAATAATCCTGCCTCCAGTCTCCAATTTCATTTTTATTGTGCCAGGTATTCTCCCTTCCCTCTTTAAAACCCTGAAGCTTCCTGTCTCTTGTGAATCATCATCTGCCTCCTGGGCAACAGTCAACGATCAACACAAATGTTCGTGACCAAGTGAATTTAACCCCTTACTCGTGACTTTTTTTCTTAAAAAACTGACTGGTCTCAGTAAACGTCAGCATAAATCTGTGAAGATTTGTTTCTTAAAACCCAGCTGCTCTCACTGTTGTCCCTTTAGGAAATATTACCTGCTTTTCTTGGGCATTCCAGCCCCATATGTGACTCCAGTCCCATTCCAAAGGGCCTCCCCTTGCAAGTACACCAGTTGTTCCAAAGGGAAGGCTCACAACACACAGGCAATAAATGCAAGGGTCAAAACTGAGAACAAAAGCGATAAAGCAGCCAATTTGCAAGGGCCCTATTAATCTGATTCGGCAATGTTGGTTGAGGGGTGCATGAACCTTTACTCTGTATTTTAACTCTTGTTGACCCTGTCCCAGATGTGTTTGATCCAGATGGAGTTGAAGGAATTTTATGTTCACTTGGAGTTTAAAGACTAGGGATAGTTTTTCAACCGTATTCACCTTGCACTGTCCCTGTCCCAGGAGTGTTTAATGGGGACGGTGTCGAGGGAACCTTTAAAAGAGTTGAGGGGTGAATGTTGGCCAAGTCATCAGGGAGACCTTCCTCACTCTCACTCAAGGTTTAAGTTTGCAAGTTGAGTTTCTCTGAAGGATGGGGACGGGTCTGCAGTGGTTAAAAGAACAGCCCCCCACTCTCCCAGGTACTGAGTCCCATAAAATGTAGCAAAGGTCCCCACATTGAAACTGGGGAGGCGATGGCCTAGTGGTATTATCGCTGGACTGATAATCCAGAGACCCAGATAATGTTCTGGGGCCCGGGTTTGAATCCTGCCACAGCAGACGGTGGAATTTGCATTCTACAAAAATCTGGAATTAAGAATCTAACGATGACCGTGAATCCATTGTTGATTGTCGGGAAAAACCCATCTGGTTTGCTAATGCCCTATTCAGGAAGGAAACTGCCATCCTTACCTGGTCTGGGCCTACATGTGACTCCAGACCCACAGCAATGTGGTTGGCTTTTAACTGCCCTGTGGGCAATTAGGGATGGGCAATAAATGCTGGTTTGGCCAATGATGCCCATGTCCCACGAATGAAATGAAATCCTTGCTCTGTAGCACCAATCGCCACCACCACCATGCGCACCCCCCCTCCCCCCAACCCCCACCCCATGAAGAGAGAGGGGGGGGACAGCAGGAAAGAACGAAAGGCTGACTCACCCTCTCCATGTGGTAGGTGTGCAGTTGGTCTGCCATTTGCCGGAGCTGGATCCCAATCTGCCGGATAATGGCGTCATCGTCCCCTACGTCCTGCTGGGCGTTTCCGCCCCGCAGAGTGAGCGGTGAGACAACCCCTTCCTCTGATCTGATGGTCTGAATCTGCCGGGATCCACCTGGAAAGACGTGCACAAGAGGGTCAGAGCAGGCCCAGGCATTGGGCACCAACATTTAATATTGTCCTCAACACCTACCACCAAACCCCTCAACTCTTGCACTGCTATACCAGATGGTAGAACTCACAACAACTTCCATTTACATAGTACCTTCTAATGCAGCAAGCGACAATGTACAGGAGAAGAATTACGCCACTCGGCCCATCTGCTTCTGCTTCCAGTAGGGTAAACAAAACACCACCCAATGCTGAAGCACATGAGACAGTGAAATGGATAGACCAAAGCTCAGTCAAAGAGCTAAGTCTTAAGGAGCATCCGCGAGGGAGAGATATGAGTGCAGAGTCAGGGAGGGAGTCCCAGCACTCGGTGGGGCCAGATAGCTGAAGATACAGCCGCCGACGGCACAGCGAATAAAAACCTGGATGCGCTCCAGGCCAGAGTTAGATGGATGTGGCTATCTCAGAGGGTTTTGGGGGCTAGACAGGGATAGAGGGAAGCAAGACCATGGAATGACTTGCAGACCGAGATGATAGTTTAAATTCACGGCCCAAGGCACTGTTCTCCCAGTTCCGTGAAAGCGACTGAAAGAGGTTGTGCAATCAGACATCATGTTTCACAACCTGCTCAAAGACATTGGAAATGAGCAAGCAGCTCTTAGCCCGACATAACAGTTTGCAAATACTAAACAATATATTGCAATGACTCAAGTGCACATTTTTGTACATTGGTAGCACGCTTGCTTCGGAGTCACGAGGTCATGGCTTACAGTCATAATCAACAAGACTTCAACGCAAGCTGACTATCCCAGTACAGTACAGAAATAAAAAAGGATGCACTTCACTGTCAGAGGGCCAGCGCTGAGGGAGCGCCGCACCGTCGGAGGGCCAGCGCTG